AGAAACGTGGAGAAGTTTTATTTATTATTATTATTATTATTATTATTTTATTACAGGAAACCCATAAGCTACACATTTAACCCACTACTAACTGTGTGGCTATGTGTATATTTACACATAGGTATATATACGTATTTGGTTTTTTTTTTTAAACTTTCTCCAGGTGATAACAATTACAACTTGCCCCGACTCTGTATCCGAAAGTTCTTCCCCAAGAAGAAGTGCTTTGTCTTCTGTCCACCCACAGAGTGGAGGAAGCTCTCTAAGCTCGAGAGCCTGCAGGACAATGAGTTGGATTCTGACTTTTTGCGGCAGGTGGCAGAGTTCTGTTCCTTCGTGCTCAGTTCTTCCAAGGCTAAAGCTCTCCCGGGAGGCATTGAAGTCAACGGAGCCCGTGAGTCGCCTGCCCAGCTCTTCCTGATAGCTGTAGGGAATATGCTCGTCCATGGTAAAAATAACACCCCCCTGCTTCATTTTTGACAGTTTTTCCAAATTCCAGATATCCTCAAGCAATCCTTAAATTTGTGCGTAAGAAAATTCACTGTCTTTGAAAAGGTTTTCAGAGCAAAGAGACTCTGTCCAGAGCATTTCCCTATTTGTCTGGGGTAACACTGCCCAAGTTGGCATCCAAAGACTCGTATGTGACTATTTAGGTTAAATGTAAGTTGATTTCAAAGAGTACATATTCAGCGCATATGCCCACATGCTGAGAGCTAAGTAGCTACTATACAAGGCGAGTACCTCTCCATAATGGGAGCCACAGATGCAAAACACTCTTGTTTGCCTCAAAGTTCCGCTCGGCAATGGTGAGCTTGGTTACATTTGAAGCCTGCAGTTGCTACCAGGCTTCTGGGTAATATTCCTACTATTGAAGGGCATATTGATCGTTTGTATGCATTCTCAGAACCACAAAACACAGAGACGACTTCATTCTAAAACAAATATCATCACCTGTTCTCTAAATGTAGGACTAGAGATACTGGTGCTCACATACCTCAATGCCATCAACAGTGGGACTCTGCCCTGCGTGGAGAATGCTGTCCTGGCCTTGTCCCAGATAGAGAACTCGGCTGCCGTGCAGAAGGCCATCACCCACTATAACCAGCAGATGAGCCAGAGGGTGCAGCTGCCCACAGAGACCCTCCAGGAGCTGCTGGACCTGCACAGGGCCTGTGAGAGAGAGGCCATGGACATCTTCCTCAGGAACGCCTTTAAAGACGAAGACCATTCATTTAAAAAAGAGCTATTGGTAAATTTATGTGATGTTTGAAGGGGTGGGGGTTGTGAAATTCAGACTATTATGAGGAAATATTGGGCATTTGTTTTGATAAGCACGTGTTACTAAATGTTGACAGTCATCTTTTGCTAAGCATTGAAAAGACCATTCTGGTTATGGGCTCAAATTCTGAGGCTTTTGAAATATACAGATTTACAGTCTCATATAAAAGAAAATCAGAAGTTCAAATTTCATAAGACACCTCGTGTCATCATACTGGTTTGCGGACAAACTAAAGACAAGCAAAGAAACCTGACCAGGCAGATATTCTGTCACAGTCATCCCTTCACGGCTATGACTGGTCTGCTTTGCCTTGGAACTGTGTCAGTCGTGTGTTGGAAAAGTAGCCACCGTTGTGCTAAACACCCTTTAGATGCAGAATGGGCTTCTCAAGAAAGCCCAGGTTGAGAGAAAAGATGAGGCGCTGCCATAAGTACCAAGAGTCCCCATGGAGAATTGCCTCTGGTTCTGAGGGCGGGCTGAAGTTTTCCTGTTACTTCTTTTCCCTCCTGTTTTTGGATTAAAGGCACAGCTGGAAAGGAGGTGGGATGGCGCCTATAAGGAGAACGTGAGAGCATCATCAGCTCGGTGCTCAGAGTTACTGCGGAACATCTTCAGCCCTCTAGAAGAAGCAATGGCAAGGGGTGCTTATTCTCAGCCAGGAGGATATCTTCTCTTTGTGGAGAAGAGAGAGGAGCTGAAGCAAAAGTTCCTCAGGGAACCCAGGAAGGGGATCCAGGTAACTAGGCTATTAACACTGACAGGCTACTGCCATGCCTGCTTGGAACACCATTGTGACCAGATGTGATTGCACATGGATGTGGGGTTTTCAATGCATAGCACTCAGTCTTCAAACCTCTCAACAAACTACCAAGGGAGCCTATTAATGACATCAGATGTGTACCATCAAGGGCAGTGCATTCAAATATCCTGAATTATGAGGTAACCCACTCTGGGTTATAGCTAGGCATTTGATGTTACAGAGGACAGATAGCAATGGTAGTTGCCTAATTATGATTCTTTATAAGTTTGCCTTCAAGCTGGCTTTAAGGGAAACAGGAACCAAGAGTGCAAAGAAGGTCATCTCTTCTGCTTGTCAGGTGTTACCTCTGCCTTCAATTCCCTCCTTTCTCCTTTCTGTCTCAGTTCCTCAAAAATTCCCACTATGAATGGATCATTCTTGAGCCTCTTCAGTCCACAGGGAGCCATAGTTCTAATGTCTCCAATAATGGAAATGGCTCTCCATTTGAAGATCAGCAGCTCTTTTTGTTTCCATGTCCCTGTCACTTCTTATGGACTCTTTCTAGAAGGTTTTACAATTGCCTTAGTGGCAGGATGTGACAGGGAGACTTGAGCTCCAGCACCACCTCACACAAGAAGCATAGTTCCTAGACAAAAAAGTGGCAGAGACAGACAGAGACGAACACTTGGACCATTTCCTTCTGCTAACCTGTGTTCTTGGGGCTCTTAGGCTGAGGAGATTCTGCAGGCATACTTGCAGTCCAGTGAGGCTATGGCCGAGGCAATTCTACAGAGAGACCAGGCTCTGACAGTAAAACAAAAGGAGATTGAAGGTAAGGTCCAGGAAACTCTATGCACTGTTTCTCAAATGTTCCAATATTTCCCTACTACACCTGTTCTCGTTCAACCAGAGCAGGTAGAGCAAGACTGTCTTGCCTCCTGAAGCCATTGCTGAGATTGGTGGCTGCGCTCATCAATGTCACGGCTCCGTCCAAGAACAAACAGTCCTATGTGATTCCCTCTCTAAAGTCACACATCTTCCTTTTCTGAAGTGGAGGACAAGGAAAGGGTTAATAGTGAGAAGGTGCTTACTTTTCTTCCTTTTTTCCTCCTCAGTGGAGCGAGCAAAAGCTGACTCTGCACAGGCTGCTGTGAAAACGTTGGAGGAAATGAAAGAGAGGCATGCGCAGATGATGATGGAGAAAGAAAGGTGTCATCAGGAACGAGTGAGACAGTTGACTGAGAAGATGAAGAGGGAGAGAGCTCAGTTTTTGCAGGAGCAAGAGAGGGTTCTGGCCCTTAAACTGCAGGTATTTAGCTGTGTCGTTTCAGCTTCCTCATCCACTGATCATTCAAAAGCACAAAAAATTTAGTGTATTGCTAAATTTCACAGACTACCTTAATCTTCTCCTTTTATTTTCATGAACAATTGATCCAAATGCAATCCCTTTCATTAAGCATTGCAGAAACCCCTCCTACCTGAACCACCAGAACATCTAAGAGCTTGCAATTCTGCAGGGCTGTTTATCTGAGGCACTCAAGGCCTTCTTCTCTCTGCCTTGATAGCAACAATGGTGGCTTCCATTGTCTGTTGTAGTACGAACAGCAGGTTCAAGTTGACCTTTCTAATATTAACTTTCTCCCAGATAAAAGTAAATCTCTGAATAGGCCAATGCAGTCTTGTCCATTGTAATACCGGGTTGTTATCATTTAGGCCACCAAATTCAAATTCTCTCTCTTGGAGCCCATAACAGGAGGATCTAGATAAAACACTTCAAGTTAACAATGGACCCAGTCTATCTCAGAAGGGCAAATGGAAATAAATTCACCCATCTTGTTACTCTTGGAGCTCTATTATTCAATTTTCTTTTTAGGAACAGGAAGAACTGATCAAGAAGGGGTGGAAAGAAGAGAGTATAAGACTGCAGAATGAAATTCAGGCTCTGGAGAAGAGAAATAGAGAAAAAGGTACCTTGCTCATATGTTATTACAATTCAAGAATCCAGAGCAGAATTTTCTCCTCCACACTCTTGCCGGGGTACAAACTCAAGAGCAACTTCAGGACATCAGATGATTTCCACTAAATGAACTTACACTCCTGGTGCTTGCATATCTGTTTCGCCATCAAGTTTATAAAGATAACATAGGAAGAAAATGTGTTACCCACTAGCTATGTGCAGAACCCTTTGTGAAAAGTCCACCCCACGTTGAAATGCACTTTCACTTATGTGATCAAGATGCTGTTTAAAATAGGCAGTTAGCTGCCAGAAGCCGGTTTACTTCCTTATTCCCACCATGCTTCTGGACATCTTCAATCCAGAGCATTTGCCCAGGCTTCCTCTGCTCCTGTGGCATCCTGGAGTTTTATGCAGGGTTCACTGTGCCCTGGGGTGGCCCTGAAGTGTTATGCAGGATTTACCTGCTCCTTGGGATGCCCTGGAGCGTTACGCTTACAGAATGAGTCTGAAGGGGCTGAACAGTGTCTTTTGGTGCAGTTAGACTTGAGCCTGCTTTGTGGTCAATGGTTATGAGAAGGAGGTCATCATCTTCCAGCAGTTATGAAAAAGCCTGGCTTGGATGTGTAGACTGTATAAGTTCTCAGCGGGGTCAAGGCTGCACAGTATGTAGCCAGTGATCCACTAGAATTCTCACATCTGCAACAGTAAATGTGTTAGTAGTCAAAGATTAGCGTCTGCTATCTATAAAAACCCTTTGGCTAGCTACCAGCCCTTCCTGTTCTTCCACATATAATCATTAAACTGCAATGATAGACAGATACATTATTATATAATGATATATCGATATGTCTTTATATTATATATATATAACATATGTTGTCTGTATATTATATTTCATATATTATATAATGGTGTTTATATAGCAAAGGCATTCTATAGCTCACGACAACACTCATGAATAAGGCATAAATGCTGTCAACAGCAGTGGGATTTATTTTTTTGAGTGAAAAATTAAGGTGATAGAATTCCTTCTATGAAATAGCAGCAATAGCAGAAAGGGGCAGCTGGCTCAGAAATGCCACATTAATTTTCTCTTTGATTATCCTTCCCAATAGTACAGGAAGAAGCTGAATCTGCCCAGGCTGTCTTGAAAATGTTGGAGGATAAGTACAAGATGGGACATAACACAATAGCACAGGAAGGAGAGCCTCACTGGGGACACATGAAGCAATTATCGAAGGAGAAGCAAGAGTTTCTTGAATGTCAGGTATTCCATCCCACAATATTCACAGAGAATAGGTGGAGAACATATACAAATTAACAAAGCAAGCTTACTCCATGTTTGAAAAGTGGGCTGGTCTGATGTTGAATGATCTGTGCAGTATCTCCAGTGAGACAGAAAGGTGATCATTGCTTTACGCCACTGTCTTAGGATTTCTATTGCTGTGATAAAAGCACATGACCAGAGCAGCTTGGAGAAAAAGGGTTTATTTCAACTTACAACTAACTCTTGGGTCACACTCCATTTTGGAGGGAAGTTAAGGCAGGAACTTGACTTAGGAACCTGGAGGCAGAACCTGAAGCAGAGACCAGGAAGAGTGCTGCTTACTGCTTGGTTCATGGCTTGCTCAGCCTGCCTTCTTAAACACTCCGGGACCACCAGTTCAAGGCGACACTGCTAATTAATCACCAATCAACTGCTAGTTAAGAAAATGCTTCACGGCAAATGCCTACAGAGGCATTTGCTCAATATCTTGACTTATCTATCTTCTTAGATAAGTCAAGAGTGTGTAAAGTTGACAACACAAACAGACAGAAAGCGGGCAACCAATCTGAACTGGCCTTGGGTGACCCAGGAGTGGTGAGGAGATACTCACTTGTGTTTGGAAGCTTGATTTTGACTTGTTAAAATGCCCCGCTCAGGCGTCAGGGGCACTATGTTGACTACACCGCCCACCCATGGGCAGGCTGGGTGCCACAAGTACACATGCGTGAGGCTTAGTTCTGTCTTAGGACACAGGGACAGGCAGCTTGCTGATGGTCTCTGCCTGTTGGTGTTACTAAACATCGCCCTCAATGGGATGAAAGTAATCAACAATTTCCAGTGATTCAGACACGGAGCCGTTAGATCTCAGCAGAGAACTCGGTCTTTCTACTGTCAGCTCAGAAACAAAATAAACGTGTCTCTTCATTAAATTAAACTGTATGTTCTCTGAGCTCTGTGGTAGTCTGTTCTGTACTGTTTGTGAGCTCCACTCATTATATTTTCTCTCTTGTGCTAGAGAACAAACAGAGTTCTGGGATAAAAATAATCTACCATATAACCCAAAAGCAGAAAGACACACGTGGTATATACTCACTTATTATATTAGTCATATAAAATAGGATCAACCTACTAAAATCTATAGTCCTAAAGAAGCTAAACAACAAGGAGGACGCTAGGGAAGAGGATGAAACCTCACTCAGAAGGGCAAACAGGATAGACATTGGAAGTAGGAGAAGACAAGGAACAGGACAAGAGTCTTCCACAGAGGACCTCCGAAAGATTGTACGCACAAGCGTATCGAAGGAGACACTGAGACTCACAGCCAAACTTTGAGCAGAGTGCAGGATATCTTATGGAAGAAGAGGGAGATAGAAAGATCTGCAGGGGACAAGAACTCCACAAGGAGACCCACAGAGCCAAAAAACCTGGGCCCAGGGACCCAGAGACCGATATTCCAACCAAGGACCTTGCATAGAGAGAACCTAGAACCCTTGCTCAGATGAAGCCTATAGACTCCTCAGTTTCCAAGTGGGTTCCCTAGTAAGGGATACAGGGGCTGTCTCTGACATGAACTCATGGCCAGCTCTTTGATCACCTCCTCCTGGGGGGCGCAGCCTTGCCAGGCCACAGAGGAAGATGATGCAGCTGGCGCTGATGAGACCTGATAGGCTAGGGTCAGATAGAAGGGGAGGAGGACCTCTCTTATCAGTGGACTAGGGAAGGGGCATAGGAAAAAAGAGGGAGGGTGGGTGAGACTGGGAGGAGACGAGGGAGGGGCTGCAGTGGGGATACAAAGTGAATAAATTGAAATAAGTAAATAAGTAAATAAATAAATAAAAATTAAAAAAAAAGAGAAAGATCTTGTAGAACAGAGCCATGGAAGCAATAAAAGAGAGAACAGTACAACTCTGAAAAAAGAATCCACCGTAAAGAAATCCCCAATCTCTCCTTCATTATCTCTCATTCCCTATTTTCAGTCACTCTCCTCTAAGCCACTCTGGTTGCTGCCCCCATCTGTGCGCTGTCTTGAAGTCAGCAATTGACTCATTTCCCTTTTCTCAGCAA